GAGGCGAGCCCCTAGTCCCCAGTTTCATACAAAACCAAGAGCAGATCGAAGCATTTCCTGCAGGACTCCGAGCCCAGCGACTTCCAGCCCTTCGGCTTCTTTTGATGCATTGAAGAAGGGATTAATGGGTCCGTCATCAGCTCCCTGTGCTTGCTCCTCTGAAGGGGTGGGCGGGAGGGAACCCAAAGAGGAGGGGTGGGGGGAGAAAGATTTACCAAATAGGGGATTTAGTCATATTTGTGTGCAATGCGATCCTTATTAGAGAAGAAATCCTTTAAAATCGAACAAATCCATTTTGCAAAACCCTCTCTCTGCGTGTTGCATAGTGTCAGGCGGCAGCATCGGCAAGAGGCTGCAAACACATTGCACCGTCTCAAATCCTCTCGGGAGCGGATGGAGCGAGCCAGAGATGGCTGAGGGCAGAGAGCTGCCCCCTCACTGCTCCAGCCTTGGCGACTCTTCCGTTCACTCAGTGCCGGGGAAGGACGGCGGTGCTGGGGCAGGAGTGATTTCAAAACTGGGAAAGGCAGAGTAAGAGGAGAGGGATTTTTTCCCCTCCCCCGCTCAGTTTAGGGGCCAGACAAAATGCTCGTGTCTTCCCCCTTGAACTGCACCTGCCAAAAAGAATCAGAGACGAGTCCCCCTTGGAGCGGCGCACCCGCGCACACGGCCGCGCACGCAAAAGGGAGCAATAAAAGTTTAGCTGCTAATCCCCGCGGCCGCGGATACAAGGATTGCCTCTTCCAATCAGCCTGCAGACAGCGGCAAAATCTCCCCCGTTCCCTCCCCGCCCCCTCTCTTATTCCCGGTTTATCTTCCCCCCACCGCCTCCCCCGCGCTACCTCTCACCCAGACACCCATCCTCTGAGGAGCCTGCGGACGGGGTGGGTGGAGAAGGAGGAAGAGTGTGCGTGTGCGGGGGGAGGGGGAATAATAAGCACAGTGAGAGGAGCTGAAATGAGCTCAGCAAGTCCCCTCCTCGCCTCCCCTCTCGCCTGCGGGAGCTGCCGGTGGGGGGAAACGGCCACCGGAGAGGAGGGCGAGAGGCGGGGGAGCCCCCCACCCAGGGGACCGGGGGGACCCCCGGCACGGGCTGCGGGACAGCAGCGGGGGCAGACGCGCTCCCCAGCCCTTGCTCGGCGGCCGCCCGGCTCTACCCCGCCGCTCCGGCCGTCTGTGAAGAGTAAAGTGCAGGGGGAGGAGGGAAAGGTTGAAAAGAAAATAATAACAATAATAATAATAAAACACGAAATGCAATCCCGGATCCACCTGTAAGGAGCAAAGGTAACGGGAGCGCGGGAGAGACCTGCTCGGCAGACCTGTTGTCTGCAGGGCAGCGCTTTAGCGGGGCAGGTTCCTCGGCTCCCCTCGGGCAGCAGGGCTTTGTGTACCTGCCAATCCAGAGGGTGAGAGGTGAGAAGAGCCGCGATCCTTTTTTTCTTTTCTTTTCTTTTCTTTTCTTTTCTTTTCTTTTCTTTTCTTTTCTTTTCTTTTCTTTTCTTTTCTTTTCTTTTCTTTTCTTTTCTTTTCTTTTCTTTTCGTCTGTTTAACCTGCGGACTGCCTGTCGTCTGCTCTGCACTCTGAAATCAAGGCAGTACCTGCCATTGATACTTAGGAATGCAGACAGTCATCATCAATGACACACACATTCAGATAAATCTGAGGTGATGTTGGCTAGCTGAATTCCTGCATCCTGTCATCAGTCCATCCATCCATCCACCCATCCATCCATCCATCTATCCATCAGGTCAGTTACCTGTCTTGGAACATTAAAAAAAAAAACCTGCTGGGTGACAAGGGCACAAGAGCTCTGCAGTAAACTCTTTCTAATAAGGGATATAGAGGAAACAAGGCCCCATGAAATGGTTCATCTATGTTTTGTGCCATCTATCTTGCCATTAGCAGCATGAGGGCTACAGCTGTTAATCTTAATAAACTGTCCCAGCTCTGCTTTCCAAACCTCTCAGCACTTCCTCTGACCTTCCTTACTCCTTCCCACCACTGGTAAAGAACCTTATTTGTGCAGTAATTGAAAGTCGCCTGATTTATCCATAGGATCAACTTCTTTAATACAGATGTGCATATCCTCCTGTTTTCAAGCGAGAGAAGAGCAACTGAAAAAGGATAAGTGGGGGAAACAGTCATAGGCGTATTTCTAGACTGTCAGATGTTTCTTCTGCAAGAGGATGCAGACATCTATATGGCTAAGTTTCAAGTTATAGTTACTTTAAAAAGGTTATAGAACAAGTAGGCATAAAACAGCTGATTTTGCTGTTCTGTGGAAATTTGCTGTGTCACATCATATAACAGTTTCCTCATTTTTCCTCCTCTGAAAGTTTTTGTTGTTTGTTTGTTTGTTTTGTTTTTGTTGTTTGTTTTCTTTTTGGTAAAATGTCTTAATTCTGTTTTGATTGGTGCTGCTTATATTAAAGACACGACTGTAATGGTATTGGTAAATAGGATGTGTAGCAAAATATAATTGAAATATGCCAAAAGGTAATTGTACAGTCTCAAAATGGAGTAAGGTATCCACAAAACACCCGAGGAGCAGCCACAGCGACCATTACCTGTTTTAATAATGAGACCTTCAGGGGATATCTTGGGATCTATATAGCTGGATGCTAAAAGCAGCAAGTTTGTTCAAAGAGGGTTACAAGCAAGCACACAGTGCTTATCAGGTAGGGATTGGTCCAAAAGAGTTTCTACCTCAATAGACCTTCTCTAGAGAGTCAGAAATTTTGAACCTCAACACAACTACTACAGGTTTCATTTTTCTTTTCTCTCTCTCTTTGGGAGAAGGCAGTGTTCTATGTCTCATTTTGATGTCAAGTCTATGTTTGTTTGTTTATTTATTTATTTATTCATTCTTGCAAATACTTCTTCTAAAAATGTAGTAATTCACCAGTCAGCAAGTACATTTCACGATACAGGTTTTATGCTGGTGAATGTTTATGCACTTAGTATGTGGTTTTATATCTTTAATAAGCCAATAACCATACCCTTGCCTCTCTACTAGGCATCAGAGTGAAAAAGGGAGAAAGAGATTCAGTTAGTATAAAATGTTTAAAAAGAAGGATTTTTAACTGGAAGAGACCATACACAATTTTCTTAAAGGACAACTAGATATTGTTTGGAAACAGTACCCAGTCTTTTGGATGGTGTTAAAGTTTGTGTGTTTCTTTTTTCTTTCTTTCATTTTTTTTTCTTAAGTTTTGCATTTTTTTAGAGTAAGTACTTTTCATTATATGAAACTACAGCTACATTTTTGGGCTAGACATGCACTTTTCATCTTATTGGTGCTTTACTGGATATATATATGTATATATATGTATATATATTTAATGAGCAAAACAACACCCAAAAACACCATGTTTTTGATATCTCAGTTTTGATGTCACATATCTCCATATAATTCTTTGTAGTTTTAACCGACTGTTACCTAGTATTGCCTTTGCAGAGTACCTTTTGTCAGCCTCTCTCTTTCACTTTGGCAGTCAGGCTTTCTCTTGATTTTAGTGGGAGCTTGTCTGAAGCCCAAAGCTTCTCAACAAGACATGGAGCACTTTGTAATGACTCTAGGCTGATGTTAGATGTCTAAGAGAAGCCTGAGGATGGTTAGTACGGCAGAGGGTGACCAAGCGGTTGAAGACCAATTTAAGCACTTTCAAGTTGAGATTTACAGAATGAAAAAAAGACAAACAACTATGAAAATAGTTCTGACAGTTTTGTAGGAACAGTTTCTCATCAAGAAATAAGTGAAAGACTTGACGCGTTTCTTAAAAGTACAGAGAAAAGCTTTTGCTTCCTAAACTGTGTTAAACCAATATTGTAGGCCCTGGTCAAAAATTAAAATAAAATAAAATAAAATAAAATAAAATAAAATAAAATAAAATAAAATAAAATAAAATAAAATAAAATGTCTTGTTTTCCCCCATTCTAGTGGTGATTTTTTATGTTTACCAAAATAAATAAGTAAATACTAGGGGAGGAAAGAGAGGGAAGGGGAAGGGATTCCTCTTCTTTCTTTTATTTCTTTTTTTTTTTTAAAGGAGGAAAAAAAATCTTAAGAAAGTCAGGATAGAATTGGTTGCTTTGATTTGTAACCTACAGTAGAATTAGACAATATGATGAACAGTTTTATTTCAGAGATTGTATTCTAGAGGGATTCCTAGTTGGCATTACAATGTAAGAGAAGCCTTAAGATACAATGGTACTTTCTCCTTCTTGAATCAGAGCACATCTTTAGAAAAGTGGTACTCTCTCAATTAGAAACAAAATCTCCATATGGAAAAATCCTTGGTAAAATATCTCACTATTTACTTTCTTTATTAAACTCTCTGATTTCTAGTCAGAACTTGTCCTGCATACTTTGGCTTGGCCTTCCAGATAGTCTTGTATTAGTGACCCATTGAATATTGCTCTATCTATGCCCCTTAATAGCTAAGCTTAACCCCTCTGTTCTCTCATTCTGATTTCTTTTTGTTGTTGTTGTTGTTGACAGAACGTAACAAATCTAAACTACAGGCCCAAAATAAACCCAGCTATAAACAGTGTAACATTTAGAAACACTAAAAGGCATCAGCAAGCCAGTCATCTCATCTGCGCTAGTATTTTGGCTTAGATCAGGAGTGTCTTTCTGAAGTGAATCCTTCAATCGTCCCCACTTATTGGGAACTCGAGCAGTACTTGAAGTGCATGAGCTGGATTGCTTTTGGATGAAACTAAATTGGAAGATGTGCTCCAGAGGCAGA